TCCTCACCACAACGACCCTGTAAGGTAGGTTGGGCTGAGAGTCTGTGACAGGGCTGAAGTCGCACCATGAGGACTAGAACCTGGAGGTCAAGAATTGACTGGAGGGCCATCTGCCAGAGATGCTCTTGCTGCAACCTGCAGTGCGGGATCAGCATTCAGATGGGGGCTGGACTAGATTACCGCTAAAATGCCTTTTGCTTTTAGTAGTCTATGAGTCAGTCAGGAGGGTAAGCTTAACTGTGGTAAAGAAGCTAGGAGTTTACTTACAAATTTTAATAAATATGAATGCATTAATATGGTTTGATATCTATGTTTTGCATTCATTCATAAATATATTTCTGATAAAATGATTTAAAAACAGTGGACTGGCTAAACAATGCCCTGGCAAGGACTCGTTCGCCCTCTGGAGCGCCTTCTGCAGAAAGGCCATGCCCAACTCCTGCGGAAGGACTCTCCCAAGAAACGCACCACCGAAGCTGCGCGACGGACGGATTTGTGTCAAAGCTGTCCTTGTCATTCATCTTCAAACGAATGCCGATTGAGCCCACGTATGTGTCACTAAATGTGTGGGATTGTGGCCTCCCACCCCCTCACAAGACCCCAATCCTGCAAATTGGGGTTTGCAGGGCTTGCGCCCCACCGTGGTTTGCAAGGATTCACCCCATGCGAGCACAGGAAGGACACAGGGGACTTAGTTTCACGTGCAAGAAAAGCGGACTGCAACGAGGAGCCCGAGCCAGCCAAAGCCAAACAATCGTGCCACGCTTACACCCCGGTGGTCGCCCAGGGACTGAACTGCCGCAGTGTCTCCTCTGGGAACTCAAAGGGACTCGGACGGACTGTGCTTCCCACTTAGAAAGGAGATCCAAACGCAAAACCTCGGAGAGTTGGCGTGCTTCCCTTTGCCTGGGCATTTTGGGGCTACTTGCCTCTCTGGTCGAAGATCGTCCACTTGCAACACTTGGATTTTGCAAATATGCTATGAAGCATGGAAATGATTTGTGAGCTTCTGAGCATGGCAAAGACTGTATCTAAATAATGCGCTTCTGCACATGTGCCGAGTTGCTTGGATTAGCTATTTTCCCGCTCAGAAGTAAACTTTCTTTGACGCATCATGGTCAGCCTGGATTGGGTTGTTCTTTCTTCTGTTCAGAAAGTAAGATTCCCTTCATTCACGGGCTGGGTGGAGCGTTTTTGCGAGAGGCAAGACGAAAACAAGGAATCCGGAACGGGGTGCATGTTTTGACCCACGCATCATGATGCACCGTGTGTTTCTAAACTACACCTCCCAAGATGCACTCTGAGTCAAAGTGCATCCAGGTGGAATGAGAGATGGTTTCAAGCGAGAACGCTTGCTTAAGGTGACTCAGACCACTTTGATATTGCCTGCAGAAATAACGAATTCACTGGGTTTAACTTTGTCCATCACTAGTTGGAGAGCTGCAACTCAGAGGATGAGCTGCGGGTTGGGAGAACTGAGATTATGCATACAACTGTCCCGAAAGCAAAATGCTAAATAACGGCCAAGAAGCAACCCTATGGCCCTCCCCCAAAGCACAGGGAATGTGGCGGCACGTTGTTCTCCCAGACACAGCCCACGTCACGCTGGCTTCCTGTCCCACCCCAAATGGGGCTCATTTCCTACCTGGGCGCCCGGTAATCAACAGGGAGGAGAGACAGGGCGGCTGTCCTGCTCTGCGCACCTGGCCCGCCCTTCAGCCCTCGACACACGCATCGTGCGCACGGGCACAGGGACGGGGCAGCGCAGCGGGCTGCCCTGCCAGCGCCTCGCTGGGGACTTGGCTGTGGAGACGGCAGCGCCGAGCGCCTGGACTTTCCGGCTTGCCCTGCACCACCGGTTCAGAGACCCTCCCGCTTGTGGCGTCACTTGCCTTTTCATCCCTGGCTAGACGCATGCAAAAAATTCTTCCTGTTAAATAAATATTTGGCTTTGCTCCCTCGCGCTTTTCATGGGATTTAGAATTATGATTAAACATCCTGAAATTAAGGTTAGGAATCTGCCTTCGTTTCCCATGTTTCAGACTTGCTATTTCTCTCAAATAACTCCGGTATGAAGAATTCTCTAAATTCTGCCAGTTGTGATTTTCCTTCTTTCTTGTTGGCTTTAATCATGAACCGTACATTAGAAATTGCATCCTTCTTTGCATGCCTGTGTGCATCAGAGGTTCGGGACCACGACCTTTGGGAAATCCTTTCCAGGCTGGCTCCTCAGCCGATGGAGCAGTGGTGTGCAGCACAGGACTCGGGACCCGGGAAAGCTGGCCTCGTACGACGGAAGCCTGTTGGCCCATTTTGGAGGGCACTGTGTACACCCTGAGCTGGTGAGCTCCCAGGGTGCTCAGTGACATAGCCCAGGATCTATGGGAGTCGTCGTCCCACGCCACCAGAGGCACCAGGGTGGGGAGAGAGCTCCATGCTCACCGGTGAGGCGCTCTGTGGGTTCAGACGGGCGCCTGGCGACGGCAGGGACTGAGCTGGCCGAAACGCACGGCCGCCTCTGCAGTCTTGCATGGTCCATCCCCTGGGCCCAGCTGCCTGAATCAGGCACGTGCTCCCAACGCAGCCGGCATGTGCTCTCCCTGGCAGCCACACGCAGGGGTCAGTGGCCAAGTTTCCCCCGAGAGAGGCATGTAGGGCAGTGCCGATCTTCTCTTCACAGAAACTCCCTAAGGTGCTCCAGTGCGGGCACCTCGTGCCAAGGCCCCCGTGCCTCCTTTGCCAGGTTGCAACACCAGATAAACCAGGTGCTTTTCCCATCACACCCCAGCACAGCCTCCCCCAGGCTGGGAAATGCGATAGCGGCGCAATGCAGGCGATTTAGCACTGCAGATCACCAACAGGCACAGATCTGCTTGTTGCAAAGCGAAATTTCACCGGGAACACAGAAGGGGTTGAATTCAGCCTCGGAACCCTCCAACGGGGCCTCTCTTGAAAAGATGAGATCGGGAAGGGGACGATGCGCCACCTGCGCAGGGCAAGCGATGACTGTGCCAAGCCATGCTTCTTTTCCTACAGGTGCTTGAGCAGCTTCATTTCCCCCCAGAGAGAAACCACCCCTGTTTGAGTTGGGAGGGCCAACAGCTTTTAGGCCCCCTCTCCAAGCTTGCAGGGTTGTCCATGCAAACGTCCTGACTTCTTCAGAATTAGCAACTATTTGCTCAAAATGTAGCTGCTTGGGAGGGAACAAAGGGCTGTGCGCTGTCCTTCCATCTAACGGAGCTCAGAGAGACACCGATGATTCACCCTAATCCCATAAGGACGGGTGGAGAAGGATGGAGACTTCCATCCATCCCCAGAATAAGCTGCTGCAGCAGCAGCAGCCCTACCTGCCGCACACATTGGAAACAGCAGCAGCATTTCACGGAAAGGCTGGTCCCACCGGAGTGCTGCTCTTTGCATGCCCACGCCTGCCTATTCCGGCCCAATCCTTTCCCCAAGACACAGGTGTGCAGGGATGCCCGCACCTGCCCTCAGGACGGTCCTGCGGCCTCCCTCCACGGAGCGCACCTGTGAGCTGCGTGGGGCTGCAATCACGCCGTTGTCTATTCCCACGCGACATTTTTAGATGCACGTTCTAAGCTGTGCCCAAAGAACGTAATGCTACGGTATCCAGCCCGTGATAACGGGCAGGTCAGATGCCGCGTGAGCAGGCCTGCAAAGAAACCCACTGGGACTGCCTGACTCCCAAAGAAAGGGGATTTGCTCAGCGGTGGCCAAGCCCAGCCGCTCACCGCACAGGGAGTCTCCCGGGAGATCCACCCCAGCTCTGCTCACTCACATTAAGCTTGAGACCCACAAGAGCTGGGAGAAGCTGGAAGGTTTAGCCCAACACCCCTGGAGCACATGAGCCTGGGAAAGGGTGAGCCATAAGTTCTTTAGCCAAAGCATTCCCACCACGACTTCCTAACCCATGACGAAGCACAAGCCCAGTCTCTGCGACTGACGACGCACCGGCTGAACGCCCTGCTCCTCTTCCACTGCAGTTGCGTTCGGATGCACCCAGCAATTTCACCTTGGAGAAAACAAAATCCCCTTCCACTGCGGAGAAAACATAATACCACACCTCTCCTATGGACGCATCCATTTTGCCCTACTGTGAAATATTAGTCCGCAAACGGATGTTCCCGGCGAGCCCCCAGCTGACAGCACTGGAGGTGTGCGAAGGAAGGCCATGCCAACGCAACGTAACTGTTTATGTGAGCAGTGATGCCCCTGGAAGACCTCCTTCCAGACCTGCTCAGGATCTGGACCCCATGAAGGGTCAGAAGAATTGCATCTACCTTTAATCCCACTCCCCACAGCAGTTCTCAAGTTGTAAAGCATACCGGCTAATACCGTTCAGCGTTTAAGGAGATGCATGTGGCAAACACCACAACGCTAAACATTTGTTTGATGCCGACTTCCACTGAAAGCACTAAGGAGCAAAGACCCGCAAGACAATTTCCCTGAAATCGGCACCCAAAGAAAATGGGTGGGCCAACTCCCCGCCCCGGGGAGACCTCCCACAACAACTCAGGTCAAACTGATAGGCACTCATTCCCCTATGCATGAAATCTTCTGCAGTAGCACCAGTTACTGAATAACTAGGTTTCCTGCCAATGAAACCAGCTTGGGAGTGAGTTGCACTGAAACAGGGAAGATTCCGCAGCGAAACAATGTGTCTAGGGAAAAGCAGGCGGATCCCCACAGAGGGCAATTTCGCAAATCGCTGGCCCTGAACGCCTCGGAAGGTCCCCTCGCAGGCACGGACCGCGGTTGCAACCCATCTTTCCACAGGCGCTCATCGCTTTAGCTCGCTCGGCGGGAGCGAGGAGCGAGGAGACACAGCTTCCTCAACAGGTGCTCCAAGCAGCGGCAGCGGCAGACAGGCCCGGGCTGCGGCAGGGAAAGCAGCGAGTGGGACTGCGGCACCGCTCGACACATCTGCTGCTACCAAAGCGGGCCAGCTGCAGCCGGTGGAAGTCGCCGGGCGGCCTTACCTAGAATCTGGGTACTTCGTCAAGGTTGCCAGGCTGCTGGTGTACATGTGTCCTCCCACGTCAATGTGCACAGGGGCGTTCGACTTGGTGAGCTGCGCGGGGAGAGGGATTCCTTGCGCCGCCAGGGGAGAAACTGGGGAGCGTGTTAAAGACAGCCGGGACATCGCGCTTCCTTCCTCCTAGACGGCAGGGACAGAAAAGAACAGTTTCCTCTTAAATGCAGCTGTGCACTACCTTGATTCCAGCCTGATCACAGATCTAATAAGATCATTTTTGCATCTGCCTGATCACATATTCCGCTAACAAATTATTGCCACCTCCATAATTAAGTGTATTTGCATCACACTCTTCAAAGGACCAGCGGCAAAGAGAAAGATGCTTATTAGCAATAAGAAATCAAGGGAAAAAAAATCTTTTTCAAGGTGTCAGCCTCAAGGGGCATAAAACAAACTGCAAAATTCTAATTAAAGGTCGCGGGCTTATGTGTTAGATGTGAAATATCCCCTGACAAACGAATAACCAATTTGTGAATTGGGATTCAGGGGGTTTTGCAAGTTTGTCTCAGTAACGAGACACCTCTAAATTACTGACTTCCTCAGTACCTAAGGCATTTCATTTAGACATGTAGTAAAATTCACATTCAACTTAGAACTATTTTGGATGCTTTTTAAATAACCACCCACACAGCAAAACAGGTATCTGTTATCTGTAGGATGAGCTCTCGAACTGCAGCATGGAAAGCTGGACAAACAGCAGCATTTGAAAGGCTGACCATCACAGCCCTGTCCTCACGCCACGTTCCCAAGTACCCCACGACCTCACCTCGGGTCATGTGCAAACATGCACAGAACCACCCTTCCCCTCCCAGGTAGGAGCCATGCTTTTTCAAAAGCCAGGTTTAAATTAGAACACCTTTTCAAAAAAAGAAATGAATCCCCTGAAATTCTGGTTCCCATTAAAATATTACCAGTGCTGATAAACCCAGGGATGAATGCACTCTGGCTTATCCACATGCTTTAAGAGGACTAGAGAGATCCATTTTTGATCTCTGGCAAACAGTGCTCCTTCGACTGTTTAAAGCCACATGGCAGCGCTGCCGGACACCTGGGTAACGTACAGGAAACCTGACAAGGTCCTGCATGTGACACTTAACACCTTCCCCCTTGAGCGTTGGAGCAAAATGCTCCCAATACGCAAAGCAAACAATGTTCCTGAGCATCGTCTTATTTTTCTGGGATGCTGGTCTGCAGCCACAACCCACAGGGTCAGCATTCTGCTCACATTTGGGCTCCTTCGCACATGCTGCTTCACAGCAATACCTCCGCTGGACCACACACCTCACAATCTCCAAACGCTCCTTATTATCAGCCCAATTGGACAATTATCAGCCCGGGCAAAACTGTTCCCACATGCAACACACAACAGCACTTTTTTCTGAGAGCCGCAGGAATGGATTGGAAAGCTCAGCAATGTCTGGATCCTATTTCCAAGGCTCATAGCAGCTTGTCTTATTCTGCCACTCTGTCTTGGGGGGCACAGTGCCCCTTGACCCACCACCTTTTCTGTCCTGGCATGGAGAACGGGTGCCGCCCCACGCAGGCTCCAAAGGCCGACACTCCAGAGACTGTCACCACCCCAGAACTTGGACAGCCGGTGGGAAACCATCCTCCGCATTTAGCACTTGGCCACGCACTCTGCTTTCGGAGCGGAAGGACCGAAAGCCCCCTTCTCCTCCCACAGTGGTGCTTGCCCTGCGCAAAGCGGTCCCCTCATCAGCCCGAGCCCCCTGCTTTCAGGGCATTCTTCCATCTGTGGATGCGGGAAGCAGAGCCACTCCAGCATCTTCACCTCCTCAGCTCTTATTCGTCCAGGATTCTTGGTGTTCAGACAGAGACTCTCCAGCCGTCAGCTTGAGGTCATCCCCGTCTTTGTTCTGACCCGCTAGCCCATTATCCCTAAAGTCCCCAGAAGTGAAGACTGGAATTTCTTTCACGTTCGTCTTTTTTTCAGAATGCAGCCTCAGCTGAAGCTTTCCTCCGAGCACAAGCGGGTTTGGTCCTGAAATACAGCTAGATCAAGAGCAAAGCCACGGGCCCCCTGCTCATTTTTGTTCTGCAGAGCATCTTGCGGATCCTCTTCCTGGATATGCTTCCTGGAAATGTTCCACTCTCTGGGACTTACTTTCCCAGATTAAGTTCCCTTGGAAGAAGGTCTGGGTTCCAAGAATTTTGCATAAGACTTGGGGTGCAGCTAAATATACGGGGCTAGTAATTTCTCTCCTCCACTCCCAGGATCTTTTGAACCACCTTCTGTGAATCCGCTGGCATCTTTCACTTTTAAGATGCAGCAGCAAAGGGCAATTCCAGAAATCCGAAGCCCACAAAAACCGAACAGATGTGAATTTACATTAAATGGGGATTAAGACCTAAATTACAAGAGGTGGGGTGCAGAGATTATGAAATGTCACTCCCAGGTTCATTGCTTGGTCACTAATTGCACAACCAAGCCTTTTTCAGCAGTAAGGGCAGATTTGATCATTCCCACCAAGAAATATTTTGGGTATTCAATAATTTCATTTAAGGAATGCTGGTGCAGCATTCGCTTGAAACGGTGACAGCAGGCGGCTTCTGAACTGGAACTGTTGGGAATGTCTGGAGACATCCTTTGGGGATGTCTGGAGAGAGGGGAGAGGGACCGGGAATTCTAGCACACGTGCCTTTCTCTGCCCGGATCCTCTGCGAGTCTGCCTCTGCCAGAGGCTGCCAAGTGAGTCGCCGGGGGCCAGGAGCTTGCCGTTCTGCCCCCCGGAATGGCGTAGCAGATTCCACCACTCCCCCTTGTTCCCAGAGGCCTGGTGCAGGCGAGCTTCCCAGTCTGGGGCCCCGACTGCATCTCCCATCCCTCCACGGCTGCGCATCCCTCGCCGGGGTCTGGCAACGGGCGCAGCCCCCCACCCCGCCTAGCGAGCTAACTGCCTCGGCGCTGCTTGTAAAAACTACTTGCCCACGGATAGCGGAATGAGCCCCATTCCATGCTCATTTACACACAAAATGGTTTTGTGTCCCATTGAGTTCGCAGTTGTTCAGCTCTCTAGGGGTGATTAAGCGAGGCTGCAGACGACTTCACCCGAGTCGCTCTGCGAAGTTGCTTCTTCCTAAGCTGTTATTTTAACCATAAAAGGTAAACAGAAGGCTGTTGTAAGAGCTCCATTCAACTCCACGCCTGCGGGAATAACCCTGGGGCAGAGAACGCTGAAAGACTGCAGAAATTTCCAGGGTGTTGCCTCTACCCCCCCCCCCCGCTCCAAGCCTGCAGAAATATTCCTCTTTACATGCACACTCAAAATGATGCAAATTGAAAACCTACTAAAACAGAAAAGACTTCAAAAGTGCAGAAGTTTGCTGTGCATTGCGCGCTGGGCTGCCTCCACACAGCTTGCAGGCAGAGCCCCCCAAAGCGGTGATGACTCGGGGGTGTCTGGGGGGGTCGGTGGTAGAGGCACAACTGCAGCCCGGAAAAGGCTGGGCAGGTAAGGGGCAGGGGAGGGAGGCGAACGTCTGCACAAAAGGGGCGACCCCAAAAGCATGACAGGGATTGAAAACACACACAGAGAAACGAAAACAAAAGCGGGGGGGGGGGGTATAAAGGAGAAAGCGGGTCTGGAGGAGGGATAAAGTTTAAATCAAGGCACACAGACACTTAAAAGCCCACAGATGGGAAGCAAGACTAATTAAGGATGTAAAAACGCTTTTGTTCCTAAAGTTTATTGTTGCCAGGATTTAAGAGGGAAAAACATTAATTGAAACTAATGCTGTTATTCACTCGTGCAGTTTAATTCCTTCATGCCCATTTAAGACATGAAATGAAAACTGCGGGTTTTTAAGGCATGCCGTGAAAGAGCGCAAATGTGCGCGCTGTGTGTGTGTGAAGGAGCTTTCACCTACCAAGCCAGACTTCTCTCCCTCTTTCTCTCCTCCCTTCCTGCACGTCCACTCAACTGCGCAGCCCTGGGGGCACAGAGCAGCGGGAGACTGTGCCCGAATGAAGGGGGGGGGGCAGCTCCAGAGGCTTTCAGTGTGGCCTCTGCAGAACTTCAGCCTGGATGAGGCCGAGGCCAGGGTCTGGGCCCTCGGGGAAGCCGCCTCGCCCCTTCCTCACACCCCGCTGCCGCCTCTGTCCGCAGCACGCCTGTCCCCCGGTGCTGCGGACAGAAACTCCGCTCCCCGCTTGCAGCAGCCGGCCCACGCCTGCGCCCCAGAAGGCCAAGAAAGAGAGATGCACCGCCTCTGTCAGAGCACTTGAAAGCCACGAAAGTGCGGGTGCCCAAGCCGACCCAGCAGAGCAGACAGCAAGGCGTAATTTGGCCACGAGAAGTGCATCGGGGGCGCAAGACCCAAGTCATGTCCACACGTGCCTGGGGTGTTTACTTTCCGCTATTGCTTGGAAGGGGCTCCCCTGAAAACTTTTCCCCGCGTTCTGCACAGAGATGATCAAACGTGCTCTTGTCTCCCAGTAGCAAGGTAAGCTTTGTGCACGCGGAAACACGCGTCTGCGCCTCCTGTGTCCCAAAACTAAGTTGCAGTGATCTTGAACAGGACGCGCTGCCAGGTTCACAGGCGCCCCGCCGCGTTTACTCGGGAGGGAGGCCCCACCGCGTGCGCGGGACGGGGGCTGGCAGGTGAAACGCACAGGATCGCGGGCTGAAGGGCTGCGGGAGAGTCAAGCCGCACAGGATCGCCCGCGAACTCAAGTTTCGCGTGGGCTCCCCTCATACTCGTGGAGGGCTGCGCGCAACACAAACTTCGGGCTTTTTTTCCCGGGCGCACAAGCAAGCCCGGCCAGACCCTCCCGCACCAAGCCTAATGGGAAGGAATAAATGAAATTAAAAGTGCAACATGGCGGCTTGACTTGGCCCTCCCCGCCTTGCAGGCGAGCCAGGTAGGCTGATGAGCCAAGGATGGAGCGGATGCGGCCGAGCGGCGCAGCATCAGGCCGGCAGGGCGCACCGCGCGGGGGGGGGGGGGGCAGCGCCACGCGGCGTGTGCCAACAGGGAGAGCCAGCCAGCCAGCCAGCCAGCGCCCGCGGCCCCCCCGGCCCGTCCCCCGGCTAAAGCCTCCCCGGCTCGGCTCCCCCTCCCCGCCTGGCGCCAGCCGTTCCCCGCAGGCTCGCTCG